GCTTACGCCTCACACCGCCTCGCCTCACGGACGAAAAACGCCACGAGGCTTATTTACGCAATTTTAAACCTTGATTCATATTAGTTTTTAGACGCTATGTAAGCTGATTTAGCACCTTTACCAAGTATATGACGCAGTCCTTTTATTGTGAAATCATGAGCATTAAAGCAGTCGCTCATATTCATTTTTGATTAATTACCAATTATTTCTTTGTCTAAATCTGCATGTAGTTTAAGAAAAGGGATTATATTTCCATTGGATCTTTGAACTCAGAAGAAAATTGCAGAACCTATCTGAAATCATTGGATAATGAACAAGAGTTTTCTAAGATGGGGCAATCAAAGTTACTTTCCAGGCTTTCAGCACATGAAGCTTCTACTACACCATCTGCAGCTGCAAAGACTTGCAATGAAGTTCAAGGTACAAGAAGTTGTTTTTATCTTTCTAAATTATTATTCATATACTTCATAATTGATGATGCGTCTGGTGGAGACAATTTTTCAGATAACTGTCTTAAGTTTCAAGATGCAAATGCTGCTGGGGCTGACCAACTGTTGGTGACAGATAATGGCATTTCCGTTGGAGCCATTTTACAGTCCAAAGAGGCATTTAAAGAATCACAGGAGGGACCGAAAGTTGCTGCATCAAATAATATTGAAGGATTGCATTATGACATTGTCAACATGCTCCACAATGATGCTGATATGTCGGTATCAGATGTAAGTCAGGTAAACCATACTGATTATATTTGTTTCAATAGTTGGGCTGCAGTTTTTTCTCTCTCTCTTGATCTCAATTATAGAATTGACGTTTCAGGTATTTGTTGCTCTGTTCAAGATTGTAATTGTACTTACAAATAAATGACACTAACATAGGTTAATTGTGTGAAGAATGTAGAAATGCCTTTGCCAATTGAGGAACAGATTGGCAGTATTTCGGCTCCTCAGGATTCTCTTACTTTTGCTTCAATAGCTGACAAGAATAATGGTGACTTCTGAGTTCATTAGTTCATTTGGAATTTATTTAACTAGCTTAAGTATGTATTATTGCATCAACTGCTATTTTTCTGTTTACATAGTTTGTTTCTTTCAGGACATTCCTTTCCTGAAACTGAGACTTTTCAGCTTGAGAATATCACCCCTACCGAGCCAAGGTACTTATTTTCTGGCTTGTATGACCTTCGTATAGCCTTCAGATTTTTTTTTTCTTGACCAACTTCCATATAAATTCGGAAAATTGAGTTAAGCAGGTAGTTATAAAAAATCCAACCACCTTGACATGGGTTCTCCTTATATTTAAGAGAGGTGGTATCTTAATGGGCCCCTTATATCTAGGGTCTCGTGGAATCTAAGGGTGGTTATCCTTTAATGCCTGCCCTCCCCCTGCTCTCTTACTTTTTTTCCACTCTTCATAAATTCCTCGTAAAGTCACCATAAAAAACTCTTCAATGTCCCTAATTAAATTGCAACAATTAAGGAATTATCTCATAACCAGCGGCCTTTTTTATTTGTATTTAATTCTCTCTCTCTCTCTCTCTCTCTCTCTCTATATATATATATATATATATATATATATATATATATATATTCCTATAAGCTCTTTGATTTTCTTTAATACCAACAACAAATTCCATCTCATGGAATACTATCCCTTCCATCAATGGTGCAAATTTGAAATCTCACCAACTCCTATGATCTATTTTTTACCTTAACATCTCTAGATGAATCTCACAATTTTTCCATCAAAGCCCAGGAACTCTTGATCTTGATGCTCATGCTATCTTTCTCAACAATAGTAATTGAAGGCTGCAGCTATATAATGGACTTGATGCTCAGCATTTTTCTTGTTTTCTAATTAAAGGAAAGGCAGCACTTCTATAATGATTGGCTTGCAGATCATTTCAAAGATTTCATTTGGATAAAAACCTACAAAATTGTATGAGATTTTAATTTTGATGAAGTTAATTGTGATGGATTTACGCCACAATGTGTTTTTAAGTTTTTTCTCATGTAAAATTTTAGAGAGAAGTTTATTTTTGGACTTTGATGTTTTAAGAAGCGGGAACAACCCAACCATAAAGAGTTTTGGTCCTTTTTCCTACTGTAATAAGATTTAAAATCACAATCTATATGACAGATTTTTTAACACAAGCGGTTAGTTTTTGGAGTATTCAATGTAAGAATGTTAAAATCAAAATATTATTTTAGATAGTTATGGTCAGATTATAATTTACCTTAGTCTACCTTATCCTGAAAAATAAATGCTGGTTATTGTGAGTTAAAAATCATGATAATTTCAAATAAAAATGTTAAACTTTAATTTAAAAATTTTTTAAGGTGGTGATTTAACTCTTCCTAAATAGAAAAATTCAGACTAAAATTGATTGCAAGTTTATTTAAACTTGATGCTTTTTTTAAAAAAAAATATTATTTTAAAAATTAAAATAAAATTGTGATGTTGTCCTCAAGCTAGATTGAAAGATTGAGAATTTGTATGGTTAATATAAATATTATAAATTATATATAATTTATTTATGCTCTCCCTTTCAAATTTTTTTTTAAAAAAATGCTATTGCTGTTAGCCTGCAAAACTTCTATCATAACTTACGTTTTCATTTCTATTTTTGGTCCAATGCTTATAGGCATTAGCAGTTTCTTTATCAGGATTTGAAAATAATGCTGATTATGTCACTATTGTACTTTTTTTTTTTTTGGTTTCAGCTTAAATAAAAACTCCGGTGATGAGATGAAGTTCCAAGCCACCAATTCTATGCAAGTAGATGTTGACCCTGCGTTCAACAATACACATCTAGTTACTGGTATATTGAACTTTTTTCTTCTGCTTGCTGATCTGGATTTATAGCCACCAAGGGTTTGATTATGTAGCTGTATTTTTAATCTGTTACTGTAAATTATACAGTTTTTGGAACTTAATGTGATTCTTAGTTTACCATTGTTGTTTGGATTATGGTGCTATACTTAAAAAATCATCTGTATAAGCTAGTCATTACATCTATATGCAACCAAAACATCCAATCATTTCCATCCTTTTTACACATCCCATGTCTTCATTAAGGAAGCTCTTGGTTAAAATATACAAGCTAGTGAAGATGAAAAATATGCTCCTCTTTGAAGGTATGTAGGCTGCTATTGTTGAGTCTATACAGTGTAGCTCTAGGTTTCATCTTGAGCAATCACTCGCTCTGTTAGGTTTCTTCTCTCAGCGCCACATAATCCCTCATAACTTTTCTATTCCACGCATACTCTTCTAAATCTCACATTGCTACCTATTATGACCTTAGTCCTCATTGAACATCAGTAATTGTGGCCCAGTTGGGTTTATGGGACAGGCCCTGAGTTTTTGAAAAACTTTGGCCAGACATGGCCTTGTTTAAAGATCAGCCTTTATAAGAGGAAGCTGGAAGCCTGGAAGTGAAATTTATATCACAAAACACGATCCTAGTGTATTCAAGTAAGCAGAAAACTGAAACCGAGTCAACTCTTAATCCTGAATGTTTTGTCCACTATAAACCAACTATAGTTCAATCTGACCTGATATTGGAGAATTCTCTTATTCTCCAATGACTTAGTTACTCGTTAAGTAATGGCAGATATACTTGTGTCCATAGGTAGACCATCTCCTCCTACATCTGTGGTAGAATTGGTTATCCTCAACTATGTTAATTATATAAGATTTTGCTTATTTAAATTTGGGTAAAATCCTTTCATCTCTTCTCATTTGAAATCCTATTTCTCTCTCTCTCTATATATATATTCTTTTTATCTGCTTCGTGTTCGAACATTTCTTTCTTTTGCGTTTGTTATTTGCAGATTCAGAGCTACCAGATGAGAATCCTCAAACCCAGGATGAAGCAATTAATAGATCAGGAGAAAAAATTGAGACCAGTAGGTAATATTCATTCATCAGTTGATTGATTCTAATTGCCGCATCAATTGGATTTGTATTATGACCAGTTTTCTATGTACTGCAGTAATTTGGCAGAAACCCTAAACAATGTGAAATCTGACCTTGAGTCAACTAGCAATGGAGATCCAACTGCGACCAGCTCAAGCTATGGTGGTGCTCCTGCTGCAAGTGTCTCCGAGGGGACCCTTGAACCGGTGAGTGATGTTTCCACTGGGATCCGTATAACTCGAGCCAGCACAAATTCAAGCAAGGCCCATAATGGTAATAACACAAATTATGTTGAGCCAATGCAGACTGGACCTCCTGAGCCAAGCAGAGGCAGCAAACGCAAAGCCAAACAGGTTAGGCAAAAGAAATGGAGGGGCTGAGAGATGTGCTCATAACCTATAATTTATTGTTATTTATCAGTTTAGGAAGCGTAATTTGTGCCAGTATTCTTGTAGCTTTTCATTTTTAGGTTATTGAATGAAAGATCTCAAACATTGTTGAGATGGAAATTAGTTTGTATCTCACCGTTATAGTTGTCCTTTTTTTAAATTCTATTTATCATACATTAGTTTTGTGGAAAAATAGAATTGAGTTTGCTGTAGAATATTTACAAGTGAAATGCTTTTCTCTATTAGAATGCATGTAGTTGGCTATTTTATAATTTTAAATTTAAATATATTTATCATTTGTTTTAAATTACATATAATATACATTTAGTTTATATATAAATTTATTAAAGTTTAGATGTTGTTGTTGTATAAATTTATAAATTTAATATAAATAATTTTATCTGAAAATAGAAATTCCTTGACTTATAAAATATCAGACTGAAAATTAGATTGATTTGGACAAATCACAAAGGAATTTCGATCTAGAAGCCAAAGACCAGCGCGACGATGACGAAGAATGTTAGGAGGAAGGTAAATGGCAGGCAGGAAGTGACTTCCTTTGCCAGTTTTTGTTGGCCTAACAAATTAACATGTTCTAAATCAACGGATGCCACTAAGTGGCCGGTGGAACCTGACGACTTCAACTGTGCAACAAGTCAAATCTCAATATGCTTCTTTTTTAACTATTAAAATTAATCATTTAATTTCTTTTATATATATATATATAGTATATTAATGATCTTATTAATAATAACAAATTTATTCATATTTTTTTAATCTAAATTATTCATATTTTTTTTATATCTAAATTATTCATATTTTTTATAGATAACAAAATTAAATTTTAATTTAACCGACCCGAAATATTATTTTGATACTCTTAAATATATCAATATTAAAATTTCTTCATTTTCATAGAATTATATATATATTTCTCCAATTAAGAACATAAATAAATTTTTGTATAATAAGTATAATTTGTTCTTTAAGTGCACTATCAATCAGAAAGTTTAGATAAAAAATGATTTAACCTTTTTTAGTTATAATTAATGTTACTTAAATAAAAAAATGATGTTAGCGAGTGTGCATTAAAAAAAGCGAAAAATGAAATGGGGCAGCTTTTAGTATATGTCGCTTTCGTTTAGAGAACCGTCGTCGACGCCGATTATTGATTTAGATTAGCTTCCCCGGAATTCTTCAGGTTTCTCATTTCAGAATAGATGCGACGACTGCGGGGGCTGTTCTTGCGTTTATGATTCAGGTTTAAGTGCAAACAAACTTCTTTGAATTACGAGTGTGATTTTCTAGGGTTTTTGTGTCAACAATCCTCTGTTTCATGTAAATTGAGTTATTATTAAAAGAACGTTAGTTTTTGCTGTTAGTTATGCAATCAGATTAATGCTAATTTCTGAGTCGCATCATTTTCCCATTTTGGTGATTGATTTTGCAAAAGTGTTTGTGATGCTCTGGAACTGTTGCGATCGAACTTTCAAGGAACTGTTGTGATCGAAGCTGAATTGAATTTGTTTTTCGGCCTTGATGGATTTTGGCTTGATCTTCCTACTTCTTTAGACAAAAGCCGGTGTTTGAATAGTGCTTCTAGTATTTGAAGTGCTTGGGATTCTGTTGTAAACTATTTTTTCATTGAGATTGAATTTTGTTTTGTTTCAGGTTCTTATTATTTGGGAATCATAAAGCGAATTTTGAAAATTGTAACCCTATGAGGTTGCTTTACTTTTCTCCAAGATTAAACATAGTGGTCTTCGTCACTGTAGCTGTGGGATTAGTTACTTTTTCTTCATATTTTATTGATGGCAACATTTGGGGCACAAATCATAAGTTTTATCCTGTATCTAGGGTTCCGATTAAGGGGCCTGGCAAACCTCCAATATTTGCTTATTGGATTTCTGGCACCAAGGGTGATGGAAAGAAGATTTTTAGGCTGCTGAAAGCTGTCTATCATCCAAGGAATCGTTATCTTTTGCATCTTGATGCAGGGTCCACTGAATCTGAAAGGAGAAACTTGGCTAGATTGGTTCAATATGAGAAGATTTTTCAAGCTTTCTCAAATGTTGATGTAATTGGGAAGGCTTATGCGGTTGATCGAAGTGGGTCTTCAGTGGTTGCTGCTATACTTCATGGAGCTGCAGTTATGCTCAAGATTTGGAATGATTGGGATTGGTTGATCACTTTAAGTGCTTTAGATTATCCCGTTGTTACTCAGGATGGTATGAATTTCAATTCTCATCAGTTACATTTTAATATTGTTTTTGGTGGTATTAATTTCTATAGCATTTTCAAGCTATGAATTGAAATCTTCCACTCCTTGAGGACTTGGCCGGATTTATACTAAAACTAATAGCTAATATCATGGTGAAATTGTCCCTAGAAAATTTCATTACTCGTATGTTGTGTTGCAAGTTGATATGCCTGCAGTTCTTAGGTCTTGAATCTTCTTTCAAGCCTACTCAACCTAAATTCATTCCACAATTAATTACAATGATTGATGAAGGGTGGGTAACTTGACCTTCCCCATCTAATATACCTTAAAAGCTTTAGTTCAAATATTGAGGCTAGTTTCTGCCTACGTCGGTTATTTTTGAATCACCTACAATGTAAGATTGAACCTTTTGTTCTTATTCAAGTCATTTGATAAGTTTGAAACTTTATTCTTGTTCTTATAGGCTCCAAAAATTTGCGCCTCAGCATTACTGAGAGAGTTTTGTACGTTATGTGTAAAATTTTCAAAAGGTAAATAGGATTGCAAATAAGATAGTACTTAGAGATTCCACCCTTATTTTGTGAGGTTTTAAAGATCTTGTTTTAAGTTTACCATAGACACAATCCCCTATAGTTAATGATCCGTCTTGATGATAGAGAATTTTCAATTAAGGTTAGCGTTAAATAGATACTAAATGCTTAATATATAGCAGCAATAATTTTTTTATTTTAAGACTAGGCAAACGATGTAGTTGACCTAATTTGACTGAACGATTCTTGTAAGCAGCTCCGAGTTGTGTCATTCAATTGGACCCTATATACCTGGGGTAGATTTTTATCTAAGGGGACACATGGAAGTTGACTTTAACTAACAAAGGGCTTTATGCCCTATCAAGTTTACCCTATAATTTATAACTTAAGAGAATGAGAGCCATTGTGAAACATTCAGGCTATGATCATAATCATAATTTAATGGTGTTATTTCACATCGAAATCACCTGGTCAGAGGGTCTTGGTCAAAAATTTTATTTTGTGACAAAATCATTTGCACCGTAGACAGATGCCACGCCCTTGCTATCATGGGATCTTTTGAGAGTGATCTTAGTAATTTGCTTAATAAGAGTTTAACTCTTTCTAAGCTGAGGTTATTCTTAAAATTATCACTCGTGTCAAACTATTGTAATGAAATATTGATTTTGGGTATGAGGTATACTTGGAGTATTTTGAATTTTGAGTTTTTTTAAAATTTCTTTGTAATTTTGCTTGAATTTGAACCTGAGGTGATTTATATATGGATTTGAGGACATTTTGAGAAAGGGAGTTCCCTTCGATTGAAATTTATGTCAACATAGTCGTTTTCTGGGTATTTGAATATTTTATTTTGTTACTTGAACTTTAGTAACTATGCTTGTTTTCTCATAGAGAATAAAGTTAAATTATTAATTTTACAAGCTACCATATGAGCGGGGTGACCGTATGTAATAGCCAAATTTTTATTTTTGAAAATTTCTATGCGAGCGCTGCAACGTTGAGGTTAGCGATGCCCTGACATTGACCTCTCGAGTTTTTGGGAAAAAATAGGTTTTGGGTGTGCACTGTGGCACTGGATTTCAGGTGAGGATATTTTTGGAGAATCTGAAAGATTTTTTGGGAGCGCAACGGTACAAGAAAATCGAGCGCCGCAGTGTTAAGTAAGAATAGCGGTTTTTAAATTAATAAAATATATTTGAGTTCAGTAATTTGAGTTTTAGAAAATTAATATCTCACAAATTGATAAAAATATATTTTCTCTCAACTTATTAAACTTTTATCATGTAATTTTTCATGTGTGATAAACATGATTTTTATGAGCTTTTTGACTGAAATATTATTGAATTTCACTAGCTAAATTGGTAGTTATGAATTTCTAAAATTAATGAATGGTGTATAGATTTCATTGTGTTTCATTGATTGTTATATTTCATACATTATATTGAATTGCATAGAAAAAATGATATGACTGTTGTATGATAAATTTGACATTTGCATATAGCAAGAAAGGCTTGCAACATTTATACTCTGTACATGAGGTGGGTTGACAGACTTTCCTTAAAATAAATTTTTGTGAGGTAATCTGAGATGTTAGTCTGTAACTGATTGACTGATTATGCTGATGAGTAGAGAGTAACAACTCTTTATTGATTTATTGAAAGTCACTTGTTAAACTAAATGAATAATATAAATAATTAAAAGATGTGATTGACAGATAATGATGAATTGATGTGATAGATGAATGATAGATGGAACAATGAAAACACCACATAAAAGCTAAATGTCATGCCATATTACATAAATTCATATAATATTGATGCTTACATTGACATGCATACATGGTAGTATATGGAGACTGATACATATAACATTGCATATATGAATGATATGATAAATGCACTCATAGAAATGGTAGTGATTGATCATACTGATGCAATATTTACATGTGACTGTAATATTGATAGAAGTATTCATGATTCATATGCAACATACAATGGAGATAATGGATAGCGTTGTATTGATTATCTTGATATATTTTCTTTTCCTGTATATGATATTGATTTATGGATTTTAGTCTAGTGATTTCTGAGTTTTTCTTGTGTACTGATCATATTGATTCATAACACTAGTGACTGATCGTTGTACATCCTAATATCTACTAGTTTTACATTGATTCAAATGAGCATACATATTGATTGTCGAGACCTTGCATTGGAAGCTTTGGTAGTGTTTTAGGGTTCTGCTGGGTTTTGTAAGTTTATTATATGGATTTTATTGATTTCAGGTCAAGAAATGGATCAATATTGTACGGAGTAAGGTTGATCAGAATTCTCAGGTTTCCTTTGGTGTTATATTTTGTTTTATTCTTTTGTAGTTAGAAGCTTAGTGAGAGAGATTGATGTTGTAAGTGATCTCCTTGCTATTGTAAATTAGATTTTTATAAATTAAATAGTAAAAGATTTTTATGTATAGAAATCACTTCCTTTAGTTTTTTTTTATTTAAATGAAAATTAGTGATTTTGATAGGTTAATTAAGAGATAAAAGTTGTCATTCTTCTAATTTTAGTCTTGTGGCATTAACCTAAAGAGTTTGTCTTATGTTATGTATTTTCTTCATAAAAGATATTGAAGGTCTAATGTGAATGTGAAAAAAAAAACTTTATGGATTTCATATTTGATTTATATATATTATTCATAGGATCAAGCTTTGTCGACTCGAATCCTTGCAAGAAAGATGATTGAACTTGAAATATGAGACTTACGAATTTGCCCATAAGCAGAGCAACCAGGTCAAGAGCATGCTCACGTGCTAGTGAATTTAACTCGGGAAGAAAGAGTTTGTGAGTTTCAAATATTATCACATACTTTTTGGGCCGATGGTACACTTATCATGGTGACAGAATTCATAATTGTATTACTTTTAGTTCGTACATTAATTTCAGATAGTAAAATATGAGCTTTTAATGTATTTGTTGGAGAACATACGAATGAGTTTAATTTTGAAAAGAGAGTTTGTGAATTTTAAAAAATAATTATAGTTTTTACATAGCCATTACATGTCTTTTGAAGCTGGAGAAATTTAGTTTCTTTTCATTTCTATCATGCACAGCATTATGATCACGGGGTTTGAACATAGCACATTTATCATAACACATGCGACAATTTATTTTAGGTGATTTGAAATATCTTGCACACTCTTTGAAATATTTGCAAGCATGGCCTTAAAATATTTGCAAGCATGATTTGATATATCAAGATGTGCCTCAGCACAATTTTGTTCTTTTAAGTCTCAAAGTCTACGCAATGAGAGCTGGGATTGAGGCGTACGCCTCAAGTTCACTGAGGCACGTCTTGAGGCGTGCCTCGCCTCATATTTTAGAGGCTTCCTCCTCTTAAAAAAAAAAACCTAGCCTTATATATATATATATATATATTCGGTTCGCCCCCCACCCCCACGCTTCTTCGGTCATTTCCGAACCGAAACAAGGTTTCTTCTCCCTTCTTCTTCGAGTGACATTTTCCCCTCTTCCTTCCATTTGACCGGCGTCGACTTCCTTCCACCGAGCATTGCTCCTCGCCTCTTGCTTGAAGTTCTCTTCTACCGCGAGTTGGGCTGGAGTCTCCTTCGACCGACCGCTGAAAGCTCTTCTTCGTGATTGAAGTTTAGGGTTTATTGACAAAGGTGAAAAAGCTTTACTTCCTCTTTGCCTTTGCACTCAAATGTGATTTTTTTGTTATACCATCGCATTTATCGACATCTTCCTTTGGTTTTCATTCATTTTTGGTGAAATTTTTATCTTTTAAATTTTATGCAATCTTGATTTGTTTTAGACATACAATTTTCAATGTCATTTGATTGAATGGTTGCCATTGATAGTGTAAGAAAATGAAAATTATAGGACTTTTTTATTTATGTAATATTTAGATCCCTTTTTGTTAGACTGAAAAGAATACTGTGAGTTGGGAAAGATAGAATTTGAATTGAACTATATTTAATGTTTTCTTATTATTGGGATATTTTTATTTCACTTCATATATTGTTCATTTTTTATGTTTTATATTATTCAAGGTTTTAAAAGGCGAAATCGGGAATCGAGGCGTTTTTTCTAAGCGAGGCGAGGCGTAAGCCTCGAGGCGGATCGAGGCGTAAGCCTCAAAACGATTAAAATAAATTAATTTAAAATTTTAAATAATGATAAAAAATAATAATTATTTGGACTACCAATAATAAAATAACATGAATACAAAAATATACCAGTTTGCTAGGGGTCCAAGGGGGCGCTGCCCCCTGACGGGGAACAAAATTATATTATAAGAGTAATTTTGAAATTCTGCTTGTTGTATATGCTCAATACCGAGCATGTACCGCTCAGTACCGAGCATGTACCGCTCAGTACCGAGCATACCGCGTAATTTATATGTAATTTATATTAATTAGGCTAATTATATTAAAATTTAATTAATAATTATAATACTAATTATTCAGTTAAGTTAAAATAGATAATTAATTCATGCACTAATTATATTATTAATTATTTAATTAATTTGTTTAATTATTAATATTTTAAATTATATTAACTAAGTTAATCAATAATAACTTAGTTGCGTCTACGGTTTGCCTTTCATCTTCTCTTTTCGTCCTTGGTATATAAAAAATTTATCATTTTATGTTTACGCAATCTTTTGATTTTGAGGCTTACGCCTTGCCTCACGAACAAAAAATGCTTCAATACCTAATTACGCAATTTTAAACATTGTTTGCAAGTCATATTTGCACATTTTATGGTATAATTTTACAGTACAATTGCATATTTCTTTGTGCACTTATACGATGCACTTGTATATTTGCATGATATTTGGTGTGCTTACATAATGAGCTTGCACACTTATGTGTATAGTTGTATATTTTTTTTGTACATTTGTATATTTTTAGTACATTTGCACTATATATTGGACAACGTAAAGTCAAGATTATTTTTGTTAATTTGATGCATCGTTTAAGTGTTGCAGAGATGAGGATGCTCAGGTGGATGTGTGTCTTCAGTCTTAGAGATGGAATGCAAAATAATATATACATGTGAAAAGTTTGGAGTACCTCCAGTATAGATAAGATTAGTGAGAGTTGCCTTAGATGGTTTGCTCACATAAGACATCGACTTTTTGATGACCTGATTAGGAGATTAGATGTATTAGATTTGACCTATGTTAAGAAATATAGAGATAGACCTCAAAAAGCTTGGTTAGAAAGTATTGGAAATGACATTTTTTTTATTAGATGTAAATGAAAATTTCACTCTTAAGAGAATACAATGGAGCAAAAAGATTCATGTAGCTAACCCCACGTAGTGGGATAAAGGCTTGATGATGTTATTTTTGTTGACACATCGTTCACGCCCTGTTGATACACGCCTTGTTGAAATGGTCATGCCACTCATAATGCATAACAACACATTGTTTTGTCTCATTTGAAAAATTTTCATTCACGGAGGCACAGTGTTCATTCACAAGGCATTTTAAATGAGAATTTGACTCTTACATGACACAATGGAGAAAAATGATTCATGTAACCGACCCCACGTAGTGGGATAAAGACTTGATGTTATTGTTGTTGTTGTTCGAGGTGCATTGTTCATTTATGAGGCATACTATTTATTCTTAGGATGCACTATTTGTTTGCGTGGCATGTTTCTTAATATGCATATCATCTAGGGCACTTATGCAACTTTTGATGTGCAACAAAGCGGGCCACTTTACTTTGTTCAAAAGCCATTCAAGGGAACACATGACTATTTTAGCTATGTGAGGGTCTGGCATAGTAGTTATTCACTGGAATGCATTCTCATTGAAACGTGCACGTGACTTTCATTTTAAGTTTACTAGTGCTTTCATTCTGTGTGCTTCTGTGTGTATTGCAAATTTGGTTGCAAGTGTCACAAGGTAGAATCTTTCGTGTTTTTTTTCTAAAGGACACCATTTATCTTCATATTTTACTTGGATGGTTCCCACAAGGATCATTTTTTCAGCTACTCATGGTAGCTCCCAGTTTATCTCACCGAGTGCATTCTTGACGGTTCCAAGTGTTCAGGAGAGTTCTTTATAATGCAACCAATATATTTTGTGCTTAAAGTTTATCAGAATTCCTCTGTAAGTACATTTATGTTTCATTGTTGCCGCACATTTTTTTAATCATCATTCTCTTCTGAATTTTTATTTTAGCTTTATCCATTTTATCATTTTTGCCACTTGTATGGTCCATAATGTTCTTTTATTTTGTTAATTTTGAGTTGTGTAAGTTCGATTTATTCAAGATTTCAGTAGTCTTTGGGCTTCTCTCCCACATAGGAGCATTTATGTAGAGTCTGAGTCTATCCATAATGCCGAAAGGCATGTTTGGGTGATATGAATATGACGATTGTGTCTTCTTTCCCACCGTGCCAAAAGTGACGCATATGGGGCTTTGTATGGGTGTTTATTTTTAATACCATCTTGTGATAATCTTCCTCATCGTGCCAAGAAAAATGTGTATTGGTCACCTGCTTGAGAATTAAGGAAACAAAGTATGCTTTTCGTGCCACATCAAGAAAGATACGTATGATTACTTATACAGAGTTATTGGCTTGCTTTGACTTATATCTTGCACGTGAAATGGTGATGAAGGCGAATGCGACTAGTGCGGGGTGAGATGACAACAAGAATAAACAAAATTTCCTTCTTTTTTTTTGTTTTGCTTCTTTTTGACTCTTTTTTCTCTCTTTTAGAGATAAATGAGAGAGAGAGAGATACAAAGAAGAATATAAATATAAAGAGAGAGTGGTGAGAGAGAGATATATAAATAGGAACTTTTATTTTATACAGTGAACGTACGCAGAGGAAGGTTCGGTTTTAGGCAAAAAAGCGCCTGTACCGAGTTTTTTCTCGGTACAGGCGCGAAAAACTCGGTACATGCACTTTTTTGCCTAAAACCGAACCTTCCTCTCTGCATACGTTCACTGGATATAATAAAAGTTCATATAAATAGAAAGAAATAGAGAACGAGAGATAGTATAGACAGGAAAGAGAAGAGAGCAAGAATTAGTCAGAGAGAAAAAGAGAGAAAGAGAAAGTGAAAAAGAGATAGAAAGAAAAAGGGAGATAGAATGAGAAAGTGTGTGAGAAAGAGAGAATGAGAGGAAGAGAGAGTGAGAATGAGAAGAAAAAGAGAGAACGATAGAGTGAGAGAGGGAAAAAGCCATAGAGAAAGAGAAAATGAGAGGAAGAAGGTCGTGGCGAGGACCGCGAGGTCGACTTTGAGTGAGAAGCTTGTGGATGAGGATGTTGTTGGAGGTGGGGTGGAGAGGATGTACCAGCAGGATGTGAATTGGATTTGACTTAAATTTGCAAGCCTCTCCTGTTCTCCTTCACACACGGCTGGTCTCTTCATGCTTTTTCTCCCAAGCTCCCAATAGCTTCCTCCCTTGTTATACACTGTAGGTGCCATCGATGCCTTATATTAGTGAGCTCTCGTTTACAATACCCCGCTTCTTCTCACGCTGCAAATCCCATAGGTGTCTTATACTAGCGAGCTCCACACGTGACTTCCTACTTGTCACCAAGGCTTTTGGGTTTCTGGGTAGGAGCGAGCTCAATTAGAGAACAAAGGAGAGAAATTGAGGGAGTAAACATTGCCAAATGGGTGTGGGTTCTAGAGTTGTGTGAGGTATGGGGAAGACACAATAATAAAATACATATTGATTTTTTAAAGCCTCATCACTTGCGAACATCGAAATTGCATCATCGCTTAGCATGCGAGTGAATTTTTTTATTTTTTCTTTCTGTGATGACTCAGGTAATATGATTGTCTATCTTAGCTTATTTTACTGTTCCGAAAGTGTTGGTGTAGTCTATTTCACAAACATGTGCCATTCCGACTATTTTAACTTTTGTTCAATGCATTTCAAATAGTATTTGCGTGGGCTTGTGTGCCTAAGGGAGTAGATTTTGCCAATTGGATGTGGCTATTGGAGTTGTGAGAGGTATGAGAAGACGTGATAATAAAAATATAAAATACATAGTGGTTTTTTTAAAGCCACATCAATCGTGAACATCGAGATTGCGTCGTCGTGTTGGTGTAGTCAGTTTCATGAGCATGCGCCATTCGAGCTATTTCAAATTTTGGTCAATGCGTTTCAAACAATATTTGCGGGATGTTGCGTACTTCACTTGTCGTTTTTGCAGTATTCAATCAGATTGACCTCGGTGGATCCATACAGGTCAACAATTATATGTATTTGAACATTCATCTCATTTGTATTGCCTGTTAAATCTTAAAACCAGTTAAAAATTTTTTTTACACTTTTTTTTTTCGGTTCATATTCAATCTATTTTTGACCAGATAGATGTGATGATCAATAATGGTATACCATTTTATCAGCTTATCATTCTTCTTCTTTCGAAATAAATATGAACTCTGATCAAATGATGACTAATAACACACGACTGAAAAGTTAAGACTTCAAAAGTCAATTTGATATTTATTTAACGAAACTTTCTCGTAAATTCATGTCAAATTCTGATTATTTTTTTTCATCATAAAGTGCTTAACTTTTGTTCCTTCTAGAAAGAATTAGTAGTGCTAGTTAAAAAATGTTGCTATTACAACTTAATGGCCTATCAGAGTCAGCCACAGCAAGATAAGCTACTCCATTTTATGTTTGTTCGGTCTGAAGTTTCCTTTTTTTTCTAATTGGCCATTGAAAGAGAAGCATACAATTAATTTAAGAATTGCTAGATGAGGATGCTCAAGTGGATGAGTAGCTTTACTCTTAGAGATAGAATGCGAAATGAGCATATACGTGAAAAGGTTGGAGTAGCTCCAGTGGCAGATAAAATTAGAGAGAGTCACTTTACATGGTTTGGTCACATTAAACATTAATCTTCTGATGACTTAGTTAGGAGAGTAGATCTATTAGATTTGACCAATGTTAAGAGACCTAAAAAGACTTGGTTAGAAAATATTAGAAATGCCCTTTTTTATTAGATTTAAATGAGAATTTGATTCTTAACGAGGCACAATGGAGAAAAAGGATTCATGTAGCCGACCTTGCATGTGGGATAAAGGCTTGATTTTTTTTTTTGTTAATATTGTTGCGGCGAACTTCTCACTAAATTAAAATTTCTATAGGAATTTCAATTATTATGCAGTAATTTAACGAAAAGAAACATGACTTTTTTGCAGATCTGCTGTATGCGTTTACTTCATTGCCTAGGGATCTTAATTTCATTGATCACACGAGTGATCTTGGGTGGAAAGAGTGAGAAAATCATATATTATATTCAATTTATTTCAAAGTGCATCCTTTTTTTGTGCAGATTTGTATTGTTTGCTCTCATGTATTATATCGATCTGTATTTACTCTTTTCATTGCCTGGGTGCAGGTCTGAAAGATTTGATAAAATAATTGTAGATCCAAACCTTTATATGGACAGTAATATGAAATGCTTTATGGCTTCAGAAACTCGGCAAACCCCTGATGCTTTCAGAATATTCACAGGTCTGATTTGTTGCTTATTTTCAGAGTTCAATGAACCTTTTGTCCGAGTCTTGATGGAAATAACATAGTTTAAGTTTTGTCATTTTGTGTATATCTGATGATGCAACGAATCTTAGAATTTAGAATTTCAAATGCAACTAAATGTTGCAATGAATGAAACTCAAGCAATTAAGATTAGAATTCACAGTTTATAGACTCAATTAAATAGTCACTCGCATATTTTATGCATACTGTAAATTTCACTTAATATGCCTCAGGTAATGATCCAACAATGGTTAAAGTTAGGGGTGTCAATATTTGACACGACCCGAAAACCCGACTCGAATCCGACCCGAAAATTTCGGGTTAGGGTCAACCCGGACCCGAAACGGGTCGGGTTCAGCAAATTGACCCGTTTTAAAAATCGGGTCGGGTTCGGGTTGACCCGAAAACCCGAAAATAACCCGGATTGACCCGAGAAATGCTACGCCCACGTTTGCTCGCATAGCCGATGCCCGCGTATGCCCGCCTAACCTGTCGCGTAGCTGTTGCCCGCCGAATATTAGCCTCATAGCCTGTCGCAGTGTCACGCGTTGTCTGCCTGCGATGCAGCTGCCAGCAGTGATGTCGTTGCCCGAGCACTTCGTCTGCCGTGAATCACTGCCCGCACACGTTGATTGGTTGAAAATTTGAAAAGCTGCCCGCTGCCAGTTGGAAATCCTAAGCGGGATTTGGCTTAATTGCTGCCCGCTGCAACAGAGCTTTTTTATTAATATTTTTTTATGGAAAAATTGGGCAAAGCCTCGCATTTGGGCTTACTGGATTTCCGAAAACAGGTCGGGTCGGGTTGACCCGAACCCGAAGCGGGTCGGGTTCGGGTCCAGAAAATCGACCCGTTTGTAAAAACGGGTCGGGTTAGGGTTGACCCGAATAATGTCGGGTCAGTTCCGGGTTCGACCCGAACCCGACCCGTGACCCGAAATTGACACCCCTAATTAAAGTAGAAATTTAGCGAAAACCCTGAAGCTGCAAGCCTGCAACAAGAATAATTTGGTTAAGATTCACATCACAATTAAAAAAATATAGTTTTAATTAATTAAAATCAATTTTACTAACAAAACTAATAATAAATTATGTAGATAAAAGAGAAGATGATTAGACATCACCAAATTAAGAAATGTAGGCCTCATGCTGATCATCATCATCATTAGCCTTACCCCAACTATTTGGGTTCAGTATTATTAATCTTTATTTTTCATTTGTTCTTGTTGAGTTGTGTCTTAGACAATCCCATTTTTCACAAATTATTTTGAACTTCTCTCTATGCAAGCCTTAGGTTCTTCTCTTTTTTTCTTAGTTCTGTGACACTAATTTTCTCAATTAGTTTAATGAGCATATTTTCTATTATTCATTTTACAGATTCAAATCATCCAAATTTATATATAATCATTTTTTTTTCAATAAATATCACTCCAATATTTCCCATAATATAATTATTCCTTAATTTATCCTTTATGGTTCTATGGCACATCCATCTTAACATTATTATCTTTGGCACACTCAACTTAAGAAAACTTCAATCAAGCCACGTAAGGAGAAAATTTCCCCCCAAAATAAACACTTGCACTTTCACTACACTCAAAGAACTTAGCATCTAACAAGCACACAATTTTCTGGAAGTATGTAAAATCTATTAAACAAAAACTATCTAAATACTTGCCGATTTTATGTTTACAACCATCAAATTTGCCAAAGTCATTAATTTCAAAATCCTCAAAATGCTCAGATCCCTCAAGGAATAATAACAATGTGGGTGAATCACGATAAGCATGCAAATCATACTTGAAGTGGAATTGAAGTAGCGGTTGAGCATGATAAGTACACAATCTAGTTGGTTCTGATCAACTACTATAGTAAACAACTACGCTATCTTAACGCCATAGGAAGCTAAAGGAATAGAACTCCTTGTAATCTGTAGGAGCCAAATAGCTGCACAATAGTTGAGTGGCTACAGGAGACTTACAATTTTTGAAGGCACCAAATTTCAACAAATTGCAAACCATAGTGAACCGCACAATGAATAGAAACACACCAAATGAATTGAATTGAACCAGGAAAATCAAAATACCAAATGAATTGAATTGAACCAGGAAAATCAAAATATTAGATAACGCATCTTGTTGTTCTCGGCGTCATTGTATGCATGGTCACAAACTAAAATTAAAATAGATTGTCTAAATGAACTAGCATAGGCAAAACTACAGTTTGCTAAGATCAACTTGCTCATCTTGATGTGCATAGTTGCATTTGTGATGCATGTAAGCTTTTAGAATTCCATCAAATCTCCTTGGCTTAGAAAAATTTGACTCCAATGAATTAAGCAGTTGATATTTATCAAACAAATCAATAGAAAGCTGTTGTGTAACCCATGAATCATCAAATACAACTCTATCACGCCATTACACAAGATGTCTCTTGAATCCATCATCAATAATGGACACAGTTACATCGTACAAGATAACTTAAAGAACTATAGTTGTAGAACTGTTGGATGCAAGTTCATGAGGAGATGCAAAAAGAGAAGAATTTAAGGCTTTGGGAACATGCTCATATGAAGTACGATTTGACATGGTTATACTTTTCTCACATTTAATACCTTAGAGACTCTTGCATGAAATATTTTGGATTCAAACATGCTATTACTTTATCACCTAATTTAAATTTCATATACTTTATATTCACATCAATAATAGATTTATAATTGTTATAATCAAAAGTAAATTTTCTTTACAAATATTTTTATTCAAATAATTATGCAAACAATTAAGCTTATACAAAACATGAAGTTCAATAATATCTATAGCCGTTCTAGATTTTTTTTACTATTTATTCTTTTTATTTTAAAAAAAAATCTAATTACAAATTTTTTTTACTATTTCTTCCTCTCTAATTGCAGATTCAACTATATCTTATTGTTTTCTTTCATACATCTTGCAATAAAAAAAGTTTTGGTGTGTTCTTATTCCTAATTTCTTATTGTCGTCCACTGATTTCAAGGAAATTGTCTCCACTTGTCAATATCAAAAGTTATATTCATGGTTACACCTCTTCAACATTTTAAGAAGGTTATTACTCGTCAATTCCGTAACATTGAAAAGCAAAAAATATTTTTATATGACTCAAGATCCTTGATTTAAAAGTGGCGGATCATAAAATGTCTTATATAAATCTAGAAAATATCATGATGAAATTTTTTGTTAGCTCATCCAATGTCTTGAATTCGGAGAAATAGCCCACAAGAATACCTAAATATTATCCTCCAAAATTTTGAATGACGATGCACAAGTTAAATGTTTACACTGAAATCACTAAATGATGAACTCATTTTTAAAATGATGAACTCAATTTTTTAAAGAATATGGTTATGAAAAATCCTCAATTATCATGAAAGTGATAGCCATACCACCAAAGGTCTTGGATTTATTATAACTAAATATTCTTAGATGATGGTCTGTTATGCAACAACAACAAAATATATCGAAACTAAAGATTAATTTTTATGAAGTTAACTTTTCAAGTGATCAAGTCATAGAAGCCAAACCCACAACTAAAAAGCTTAAGGATAGCCATAATTAATAAAAAAAATTATATCAATTATTTATAAATAATAATTAAAGAGAAAGAGAAGGAGATTGAAATTAAAAAAAATCTAAATAAATTTAATCCCTAAATTTCCCTCTTCTTCTTCTTCTTCTTCTTCTTCCTTTTCTTCCTCATCATAACCTTCCCAAAATTCTAATCCTAAAAATTTGACTCCATGTCCATCCCTCAAACCACCAACACACACCTTCAAAAAAAACATTCTTCTACATCTCCACCAAAAAGCCCAATCCCAATTCACTCTCTCTCAAGAAAGAGAGAAAATTCATAAAATTTCCTTAAACACATTCAGAAAATTCATAAAGTTTATTTCGGTGAATATTAGCAGAAAAATCTGAAATAATTCTAAAACTAGATCTTGAGATTTGTCTGTCACAGCTCAATGTGATCAGACCTTTCCTGGTTGGGTTGGGTTGTGACAAGCTTTTGTGGTATCAGAACAATAATTTTAAAATTGGATTGTATAACAGAGCTATAGGAATTTATATGTAAGTCTAGTGGGGTAGTTTCAAATCTGTCTGAGTGTTCATTATTTTTGTTTCATGTGTATGTGTGTTCAGTTGCATATTCTGTGTGATTATGATTCCACTAGACTTATATATAACCATGGACATAGAATTAGTCAGGCAGCTCCTATATATAGTTCTTCTCTAACAATTGGTTCAGATACAATTTTATAGTTTGCTACTTTGATAGCCCAAATGATGGGTGAGACACATAATAGGGTTCATGTTGTTAGATATGAAGAGGTAGACATATTTTTGATATTAAAGCCTTCGAGATTTGAGGGTACTGTTGAGCCCAGAGCAGTAGATGACTGGTTGAGGAGGCTAAAAAAGATATTTGATGGTATGCAGTGTCCTGAGAGGAAGGTACCATTAGCAGTCTTTCTATTAGATGGTGAGGAAGAGCACTGGTGGATGGGCCAACAAGAGGAGAAATTTCAAGGGAGATTAAACTCTCTGATTACTTGGGAGGAGTTCTCTGATGTGTTTAGAGCCTGGTTTGTACCCCCTTCTGCACGACAACAAAAAGGCTGGTTCAGGGGAGCATGACAGTTATGAAGTACGAGGCAGAGTTTACTGCTTTGGCTTGATATGCTCCCTAGTTGGTTAACACTCATACAGAGAAGTGTTACAGGTTTCTGAGAGGACTTCATGATAGTCTGAGATAACCTCTTGTGTCATTTCATATTTTTGATTTCTTTGAGCTTGTGGAGAGCTCGTTTGATAGAGAATGACCTGATGGTTACTCCGCAGCGGTGGACTGTTAGAAGGAAGAGGTTCAGTGGTGAGACTTCTGGTAGTAGTTTTTTTGGAAAGAAAAGCAGATTTTCACCTGGAGATTCTAGAATAAGTGGA